CAACAACACGTGCAACACACCTGGCCCAGGATAGAAAACTGCAACTCCCCACTACGCTGTGAGGCAATTGTGGACAAGACAAGACACAAATTTCGAGGCACACCTACTCTTAAAACCGTTTGGATATTTAGGGGACAAAAACAACATTGCAAATGTAATGTTTAATTGTCTTTAATGCGATGAATGAAACTGTTTGGATGAGGTTTTCGTTATTTCCTTTATGTTTATGGGAAGCAAGATTGAACAGCCTTAAAAGTCTATGGTTAATCACCAGCAAGGGGATACAAATTAGAATTTTGAGAGCATGCATCTTCCCTGTGGCTACATACAGATGTGAGTCGTTGACTATCTCTCAGTCCTTAAGAAAGAGAATAAGGGCTTTTGAGCTGAAATGCTTTAGAAAGATTCTCAGAATATCTTGGACAAAGAAGATGAGAAATATTGACATCTTAAAAGATCTGAACATCAAGGAAGATTGGCTAATAAACAGCATCCTTTCTCGAAAGCTGAAATATTTTGGTCATATCAAGCGCCACGACGGATTGGACGCAGACACACACACACACACACACACACACACTTGCACACATGAGCTGATGCACACAATGTAACTATTGCTGCTACACTGTTACTACCACCAGCACAGCTAAAACTATTATTAATGCCACCACTACCACTTTTACTTCTACTATTACTACTTATAGTACTACATTTATTAGTATCACTGCTACTATTATATGTGCTGCTGCTCCTGATACTATTACTACTACCACCATCCTCATCACCGCCCCACTACTACTAAGACCAATTCTACTGCTACCACAATTTAGACAGAGTATTCTAGAGTTTAAAAAAAAACAATGATCTTTCAGGCGTGCACTTGTGAATACGGTATAGCAACGTGCAGAGGTTTATCGAGTATCCCGCCATTGGTGGGTGACAGTGGACAGTTCAACATTACACATCTCCTGTTTTATGTAAGTAACTTGTCTTTTATATATAACATCAGATGCAAAATGTGCGACAGAGATTAGGAGCAGGATCTGTCAGTCGAAGGTGGCTTTCAGAAGATGAAAAACATTAAATGCATAAGTTTTCTTTTTTTAGAGATAACAAATGTAGTACTGAATTTAACGCTGAACTATTGATACTATGTGGTTGCGAATCTTGAAGTGTGAATGAACAAATTAAGAACTTGGTAGCTGTGGAGATGTGGTTTATGAGACGCATACTATGGATACGGTGGGCAGCCAGAGTGACTAACAACGACTGCCTGGAAATGGCTAAAGGAAAAAAAAAAATTAGAAAACTACAACTATAAGAAAGAGGAGGTCAGTATTCTTCGGTCAAATGATGAGAAGAGAGGCATTCGGGAACTCGTAAAGACTGAAAAGATAACGGTAGAGGAGACAGGGGGACCTAGAGAAGTGATAGTTTATGACCCGAAGCGATGGCACAGAGGAATATCTTCAGTGGGACTGATTCAAAATACTGAGGACCGAGATCAATGGAGCGATATGAGCTCCCACGCTGCCTGGCGGGACACAGGATGACAAACTTGTCTGCCTCATCACTTTCTTTCTGTTGGCATACACCTAGAGGGAGGTAACGATTTGTGGCGGCTTCAAGAGAATTTCGCACAAAACAGGTACAGTAACAACCGGGCGATCACTTCTAAATAATACATGTTATACTCGTGAGTCGGCTCTGTGGCCACTCGATGCGAACGCTTCGTAATGCCGGGATGCCGGGTTCGATTCCAGCTGCGGGCCATGCACCTTGCGTTGGTTTAGACAGTGGTATCAAGAAAGCCGACCGTCCAGAAGCAATGGCAAACTACTGGACGTAAATTTGCCGAGAAAAACCACACAACAGCCAGGGGCTGTTGGGGTTGGTTCTGCAACGTCCTGTAAAGGATACGCAACTAACCTACACTATTGAACCGATAGGCGGAGACTTAAAGCGAATTCAACCCCTTTAAAACACCAGGCAAACAGCTTGATCACTTGGCCATGGAGACTGCCTCCCCCCATACAACTTCCTAACTGCAAGCTGGACAGTGTGTGCGTGTGTGAGCTAAAGAAAACAATCTTTATTTTACTATTTTTTATTTACTGTTAACTTTTGATAACAAATACGCCACTTGGTTAATATCTCAGTGAGCGTGTAGCGCTTGTTAAGAGTTCTAATCTAGTGGGGGGAAAACGCTTGCTGTAAGGTTACGCCACTCATAAAGAAACTTTGACGCGTGACAGCTACCAGTTACATACTTCCACATTTGCTGCGAAAACATTTTCTCAACAGCCAAACGACGAGGAGGAAAATTCACGTGATACTTTCTCCAGTGTAATCGTTTCCTGCCATCGCTTACACATGCGAATGGGTCACGCCTCGCTACTGTAAACAGTTTACTGTTCAGAACCGTGGATTTGATTCTAATGTGTCAGAATATAATCGTCTGAATATAATCCTGCCACTTGGGTACACAAGTATCCAAAAAATGTAAGTTTTTTTTAACAAACTGTGTGCACCAAATACGTTGTTTTATGCATTTATGCAATAAAGTCAGCCACCCAAAAATGAAGTGGTTTGGACACCTAACAAGAATGCTCAGGTACTATCTGCCACAGCGAGCCACACTAAAACGTTACAACAGGTATAGAGGGAGTGGAAGACCTCTGAAATATGGAGTGATTGCATTGAGAACGGCCTTAGAAAAATGAACATCAGTCTTAATAGTGCTCTTGACAGAGCTCATCAACGAATGTTACATCTCTCCCCCCCCCCCCCCCCCCTTTTTCCCCGACACTTTGCTGAGGTACGAGGTGGAAGAGAAGAAGGGAGACAAAGAAGAAGAAGAACACGGTGTATTCGTTAGTGTGCATGAATTCTAATTATGTTTATTTCTGTTTCAGTCCGGGAATATCACTGAGGTTGGAGACAACAGCCTGCCGCCAAATCTGACCGTGATTCAATTTAGCGGAAACCCCATAACTAACTTATCTCGTAACGCCTTACAGGCTTCCTCAAACACTTTGAATGATCTGGTTTTTACAGAGATCAGATTTACCAAGCTACCTGATGCCATACTTGATTTGCAGAATTTAACATCTTTGGCTGTAATTGACACAGAAATCACGGACTGGAATATCCCAGTGTTGCAACATGTCAGCAAGACATTATCTTCTATTAATGTACAATACCTCACTGGATGGCCAGGCTGGATATCAGATTTGACTTCACTTCGCGGTGTTTACATCTCCAATAGCGATCTCAATCCAATCCCAGATAATGCTTTCCGTAATGTTTTAGACAAACTATATGTAGTTAATCTGATTAACGCTAATTTGAGCAGTGTCCCAAAGGCAATATCTCAACTGAACTTGACTTCCTTGTCACTTTCGGGTAACCACTTGTCTGATATTGTAGGTATTCCTAGAGCAGTCCATATGGACTTAAGTTTCAATGTCATATCAGACGCTGACAAGCTGGTTACTGCTTTGCTCCCACTTGGTACCAGAATCCAAACTCTGTATTTAGAATCGAACAATCTGACGGTGATCCCCGATCTACAGAATGTATATATAGAGAGACTTATACTAAACAACAATCAAATCTCTGATTACACAAAAGGTTCACTCCCACAGTCACTTTCTGAATTAAGCTTAACTGGAAACAAACTGACCTTGGTGCCAATTACAGTATCTAATTTGTCGAACGTTAAAACTATAGATTTATCATCCAATTTGATCACCAACATCTCAACCACACTGGTACATCCAAACCTCGAACAACTATTTTTAGGAAACAATAAAATATCACAGTTATTACCATCAGATTTCCCGGTCGGTTCTTCTCTGCGATATCTTTACGTTGATTCAAATCCCCTTGTTACAATTCCTCCTGACGCTTTCAAAAATCTACAAAACTTGACCGACTTGAAGCTGGACAACACTCAGTTAGCCGGTGCTCCTCTTTTTCTGACATCCTTGGCTAAGTTGGAAAGACTGAGCATGGAAGGTATTCCTGGTTTAAATTGTTCGTGTCCACGAGATGACTCTTTGGTCAACTGGTTCTCATCAGGCACATTACAGGAATCGTCAGGAACTTGCAGTAGCGGCGTCAACATTAAGGATTTCTACAGCGGACATGATCAAACTCTTTGTGGGACAGAGTAGTCATTGCGGCGGTTCTAAAATTATACGATTGTGATACGCAAACAAATCTTTAGAAAAAAAAAGCTAACAAACAAATACTTTTGTGAATGTAATAAATTTATTATAAATAAAAGTAGTGAGCTCTTAAGACACATGAACCAAAAGAAAAAAACGGACCATTAGAGAAACTGATACCTTTACATTGGAGGTAACAGAGATGGCCAACCGATGAAATAGAAAGAGCGAAAGGCAAAAAACAAACATAGGTCAGAAAGAATCACAAGAACAGGAAAACTAAGTCATCTATGCGACTTTCCTATGAAACCAACAATAAAGAGTTACATTTTGTGTACGCGATATAGTAAAAACGAAAAAAGTATTTGTGGACACAGTTTTGACTGACTGACTTTCTACCCCACCAGGACATCACCCGATAAACACCTGATGACACAAAGTGTCTTCGTGTGGATGAAGATCACCGTGGAGAGGTCCCAGAAACCGCGTTCAGACATTTGGCCATATTTATGGCCTGCCTATATTGCGGCCCCTGGCAAAAGCCAGGGTGGGGCTTCAAACACAGTTTTGCCAAAAATGTAACAATCCTACCTGAGTGTAAAACTTCATTTAATACACATTAACATCACATAGTCTGATCGTTTCTTTAAATTGTGTTCCATTTTGTCAATTGATCGTGAGTATACATATATCTTTTTTATTTGTAACTAAACATTTACCGCACAAATGTGATCGAACAGTTCGACCAGTCTTTTTTTATAATTTTTTTTTTCAACTAACTGACAAGACAGCAAACTAATTAAACAACCGATAGGTCAACATATCAAACTACCCATCAGCATTTTTTTCTGTTAGATAAACGTTTCCTTTACACATCTGTTCCACCTCACTGGTGGTTTGCAAGTCTTTACCGTTCCCTCCATTTAACTTTTCAGTCACAGTAATTATCGTTTACTTTTTGAGCTTGCCTGCAGTTACTCCTATTTTAGAGAAATCGGACCAAATGGTCTGGACATATGTTGAGACTACCACGAGATAGTGTACCACATAGAGCCATGTCACTTAGAAATCGGAACTAGAGGTCGACCACGCAAGCGATGGATAAGTGGAGTATCTGAGGCCGTAAAATTTTAGAATGTATGCAGCAGCGTATCAAGGCTTGTACCCTGTTCCAGGTGAAAGTTCTGGACTTCAGACTTGTTCCATAATCTGAATGTTATGTGCACATCCATTTTACAGATGTGACGTTTTGTATGCAAACTGTTTGTTCGTTACCTCTTAGGCATATGCACTCCGACTTCAAAGGAAAACAGTTACTCGACTCTTACAACATGCTTTTTGGGGAGCCAGTCAGTCTATTCTTGTTTTCCCCACAATGGGGCTCTGGAACCCACATAGGGAAGCAGTCTATGTATCCATGCCACACACACCGGCTGGATGCTGAAAGGTGTCGATGCGTGCCGTTTATCCTCTCTGGGCTGCCACCTGAAAATCCTGACACCCTTAGGTCAGAAGATTATTCGGGATGGCAGACCATCAGGACAGCCACACCTGCCAGGTTTAACCGGCAGTACAGCGCATGTAAGGATTAGATGAACAAGTTTTAGATTCAACTAATCCTAAATTAATAGTCAGTATCATGTCTTTAGAAGAACCTTGCTTCCATAAAAACCCTCCGAAAAACTTGTTGATCACAAGCAAGATATCCCTTGTCTGATACACCCATCTAGAGATCATCCGCCACACCCTGCACCCATCTTCTCTTTGGCCTTCCTCTTTCCCCAGGCATACACCCCTCCATTGTTGTTCTCTCTAAACTTTCCTGACATTTCAAGTGACCAAAATATTTCAATTTTCTGAGTTTAATCGTCTTTAATAGCAAACATTCTTCAGTATTCAGTTCCTGAAGTTTGGATGCATTTGTTATTTTCTTAATCCATATTCTTAGAACACGTCAATAACATTTATATTCAAAGGCATTTATGCGCTGTTCAGCTTGGTTAGTAAGTGCCCAGGTCTCACAAGCGTAAGTTGCAATGGGAAAGATACATTATTACAATAAAATAGTAATTTAAAAAAAAAAAAGCAGATTTTTATAACTGGACTAGAACTCACAGGTCAAGCCAGTCTATAAGATGTATCAGAAATATTATGAGAGGATAACCAGTAGGATGTCGACCCGATCTTCCACTGAGGGCTCAATGGTCTATTCAAAGAATGGATGTAACACTATATACCCAAAAGATCTGAACATTAAGGAAAATTGGCTCATAAACAGCATTAGGTCTTGACAACTGAAATACTTCTGCCATAAAATATTACACTGCGGATTGGATAGAACAGTAGCGGAGGGGGTGGTACAAGGAATAGGGAGGAACTGATTGACACAAACATGAGCACAGAACATCAACCACCTTGGGTAGGTGTATGCACGTGGCAGCAGTTTCCGTCGTCATGTGATGGTAGCGATGTTGTATAAGAGACCTACTATATGATGATGACTCCATGCTCATTGCGCCAATGGTGAGAAAGGTGACTTTTACCTTTTAATGGCAGTGAGAAGTCTGCTGACAGTACCTCACAGCAACAGAGAAACTGCGAGAATACGTTCTTGCGAAGAAGAGATAACAGTCAACACAGAGTGTAAAAGATTCATAGAAAGATCAGTACAGTGACTCAAGGAAGCTGCCGTGGTAAAGCAGCTAGACGCTGAAGATCTTGAGTTCAAGTACTGATGAAGCCGGATGAGTGGTCTCGAGGTATGTCATTCACCTGGAGTGCTGGAGGTCTCGGGTTTAAACCCTGTTGAAGGCTGGGATTTTTTCACGTGGACTTCTAGTAATTTCCCTTGATCTCTGGGTAGTAAAATTGGAAGCCCATGTGTACTGTTTCGCACGTAAAAAAATACCCTGGAAGTTATAAATAGAAAAACAGTAGCCTAACATGCTGCATGGGCAAAACTTTGAATTATACATCTACCCAAAGTATTTCAAGATCTTCGCTGGTACAACAGAGTTCGTGAACTGCGCTGAGATTCTTCATACTCAGGCTTAGTTAGAACTAAAACGGCGCACTTATGGGTTACAACCCTTGTGCCATGATGTTGATCGGTCGAACAAACATGTGAAAACATCTGTTCACCTATTCGAAAACTTTTTTATCATTTTGTGCCTTGTCAGATGGCAGAGGCATCTATGACTCTGCCATGATCCGGCCTATGGATGATATGCCTCATGTCCCTGCCTAGAATCATTATTTGTCTGAATCAAGTCAATGGACTCGTGGCACCCAACCCAGGGAGCTCATGTCAGTTGAGACCCTTCCCCAATCTCTGTAGGAGGTTGGGGGTGTAGAAAGTCGACCCCTTTAATCCTGTATTCCATATTTCAAATGTATTATTACATTTTTTAAAAACAATTTATACAGTATGATTATTATTCTCTTAAACTAGGATTAGGCCCATTTCCCCAGTTTACGCCTTGAAAATATGTGTGTTTTGTCTTGAGTCAAACAAAAGTAGGGACAGAGCATGGCTACTGTCACAGCTATAGATCAACCGGGCTGCTTTGGAGGAAACACTCTTATTTACTGAAGACAATGCTAATTTCTTGTCAACAAGAAGCCTGAGGAAGAGTGGCAGAATAATACCAACAGACAAGATATTAAATCTGTTCTAACATTTCCTGTTTCAAGGCAATGCTGCAGAAAGACCCAACACACAAAAAAGTATATATAACTCAACTGGTTACATTACATAGTAAAACAATTTAATGTAAATTTTTGACATTAAACAAGAGTGTTAAAAAAAAGAATAAGTAGCAAGTTTAAACATTTTTCTCTCATTTCCATGCATTATTTCTACAAACACACCCATCCATTCATCAATCAGTTTTTTCTTTTGCTCTTATCTCCTCTTCATCATTGTTTTTTTTAAACTAATTCAACCTTTGTGTTTAAACTCAGAATGAAAATTTTTGAAACACAACCACTAGCCCACTTGGTGTGCTTGCACAAAAACCAGAGACCTGTGAAATGTAATCAGTAGTTCAAGATAGTTCTACTTAACCTGGGGCTGAAAGGTATCAGCGAATGATGAATTAATAGGTAACAGCTGAGTCCATTACTGAATAGGCTGATACATCCTTATTGAAGATCTGTATTTTCATTGCTTCAAGTCATGTTTGTATTATAAAAGGACAACACAGGAATAAAATAAGACCAAAGTCATCCCGTTAAGGGACACCATTTTTTTTAAGCCACACCCTGGCTGTAGTAAGGGGCCCTAATATAACCCAAAAGTTCAACAGGGTTTCTGGGACCTCTCCAAGGGTGATCCTCATCCGCATGGTGTCACTTTGTGTCACCAGGTGTTTATCGCTTGGTGGATGTCCTGGTGGGGGTTGAATCTCACTCACCAAATAATAACCCTGACATCATTTTACATATGTTATAAAAGACAACCAATAGTTGGCTTAAAACTGGCTCCTTCATCTTGTAGAAAAATATAGTGCCAAAATTCAAGTAACAGTGGGGTTTACAAAAGATCTGGCTTTCATTAGCTTTAGGACTAGGTTTCATGGGCAGATTCAAGGCTGAAGGACAGAAGAAACAGGAAAGCAAGAAAGCAAATGTGAAAAAGACAAACAGGAAGATAATGTTGAAAAGATAGACTGGAAAAAAGATGTGACGTTACCATTATGGTAACATAGAAACTGCTGAAGGTAGAATGAGGGTACTACTACTAGTAGATTAATGTTTTGATGTGTACGTAATGACTAATAAGACAAGTTTCCAGGCAACCTAATCTTCTTTCGTTTGCTTGAAATAATCTATATCTACCAGTCTGACTCTAGAATGAACTTAAATGTCTTTTGTAATTCACTTTGCGGCCCATAAAGATTGGCTTCCACCGGTGTCTCGGCCAGAAGTTTTGCCTGGAAATGATGTACTTGGGACATTCTTGGGGGATGAGATCTGTTGTTTCAGGCCTCAGTCCACATGGCCGATTTGTCAGTCAAATTTTGTGTACCAACCTAAACTACTGCGGGAATGGAAATTGGGGGGGGGGGGGTGTAAATGCTCCAGGCATGTGGCGACTTGCATATTATGATATAAAAGTAACACAACATATTTCAAAAACAGAAACAGACTTGTTCTTTTAATCCCATTTTTAATCTCATCTATTGTAACATATTTTAGCTCAGTTCAAGACAGCAATATTGTAGAGAAGAACAATAAAACAAACAGAATAAAAAATGTATAAACAAACACCCTTCAGTTACATACTGAAGCATAATGGATTAATCCTGATGCCCCTGGAAGAAAAAAATCTAATCACTTCTGGCTGCGACACAGTCCCTTAAATACCACTATATCGGCATGTCTGCAGTGGCCTGTCTATAAAAAGTAGTTAAATTCCATTGGTTCTGCATTCGCCAGCATAATGTTTAATATGCCAGGTAATGGGGTTAACTAAAAATAGCATTTAGAGGTGGTTACCTTTTCACAACTATATTTTTTGGGCGTGAAAAGTTAAACTGGTGTCACATTTTCCTGTCAGCCTCAGTGATGAAGGAAATGGCATGAGTTAGCTGATATTTTATATTTTAGACTGGGGGAGTATATTCCATTTAATGCTTCACAGTATTCAAGTTTACTGATTAGTGCTTTAAAATATATCGCCCAAAAAAATTGTAAAAAACATTCATTAGTGACCAGTGTGAAATGGCTATCTTGCTAAGGAATTATTCTCCTGGAAATCCTAAGGGTTTATGACCTATTTCTTTAAAGATTCCTGGGTTAAAGGGTTAAAACAGTTGAATCAATAAATCCAAACTACAGAGGCAGAAAGTATTTTTCAGAAATCATATTTTCGCTAACAACAGATATAGTTCAGTATGTATTTCAACTGCATATAACAATATGGACGGTACTTTCTTAATAACTGACCACAAACAGGGGAAATCCACAGGTAACGGGACAGTGAAATATTTCGGCGGTGGTAGATTAAAGGTTAGGGCTAAAGTTAGGCTGACCCACAAAAACCTTGGCCTTGAAAGAAATGCGCTAAAGCACAGAAAACCCGCTATTACCACCCTCTAAAATACTGGATTGTACTGTGACGTCATTTGCGGTCAGCTAAAAAGAAAGCACCATAAGGGCTTTCACAAGTTTCTATTGCTCATATAAGATTTGACTGGATTTGCCATCAATGACCTTAACTCATTCAGAAAGCTTGTGAATGGGATTCTTTTCGGGAGCCAACAGCCAGTGAATGTGTTCTCTGACATTTTAAATTTGATCAAAGCATGCTAAATAAATCTGGCTACACAAGTGGCTGTGTTTAGCAAACATAATGTTTCCCAAATTGCTGCCAGGCTTTTGGTACTGAAGGAGTTGAGAAACTCAAGAAAAAGAGACCACAGAAACAAGCAAAACTACTGGCAGCAGAGAGAACTAGATGGCCACAAACAAAGACATCATTAGAGCATAAAATGACCCCAGCTACATCCCACACCACTTCTGAGATTAAAACAATGATTATCAATTAAATATATACAGGAACTGAGCTACAGCAGCTTCAACAATCCACTCTCACAGAGCCCATGCACACACAAATAGATTCAAATTAACAACAACAAATAATGAGAATGACATTTATTCATTCACTCTCATTTCTTCTCTTTGGAGCCCGACCGTGACCTATTTTTGGACCGACTGCCGGAACGGCTGCGTTTAGTGTGCTTCCTCCTCGAGTGGCTGCGAGAGCGAGAATGGCGGCGTCTGCTGGAAATAAAAGAATGTTGTTAAAATATAATGCAAACAGCAATTCTCAGGCACAAGTTTTGACCTACCTTTAACAATAACCCTGACAACAAACCCTGTCTACCCTGACACTACACCATGAATGATCTTTGCATTAGCAATGACCGTGACCCTAGCATTACCCGTCCTAACCTTGACACATCTATATAATGTCTTCCTGACCGTTTCCTGTGTTAACAAGGAGTTATGTGATGTGATACGCCTATATCCTGCTCTGTAAGAAAACCCACTACTGCTGTTGCATAATTATTGTATGCTTGCTTACCTAAACAACTCAACCTCTAGCAATAGCAAGATGTGTTTTTTTCCTAACCAGTAAGAGTTGAGGTTAACCCAGCCTAATAAAAAGAGACCAGGAACAATTTTCTAGGATGGAAAAAACCTAAGCAAAAGGGATCCACACCAACTCAGTGTTGCCTAGAAGTGTTCTTCAATCAGTGGGCCGTGGACAAGTTCAGGTGGGCCACAGAAAAATGTCTTCCTCATCATGTAACAAGGTAGGGTGGGTAAGCTTTCTCTTCCACAATTGCCGCCAGCAGAATTCAACACCTCAATCATGACAAACAAATAGTTACCAATTCCAGAAACCACTTTTAACTGCACAAAACAGTAATATTTTGGCACTTAACAGTTACTAAACCTGTTGCCCAGACTGAGCATGGAATAAGGACAGTAGCTCATATATACGCTATATCAGAGCTATTTAAGTTAATTTACTGGGGGGCCAATATTTTGAAAATAGGGATCATCACAGGCCAGATGTCGGCCACTGGCTGCCAGTTGCAAGTTAGATGTGCTATATGATTCTGCAAAGCAAGTGTGGAATCGCACACAACAATTTTGTTTCTGTGTTGTATCAGATGTTAGGTAGGCCACGAAATAATTTCCATTTTTCGGTGGGGGAGGTGAATATATGAAGGCCAAACACTTCAGATCCCAATGAGAGTACATGTCACAGGACTACATTTATCATTTGACTCTACTGCTGGTGTTTTCAGCAATATTTGACTCTATTTCTGGTGTTTTAGGCAGCATCTGACTGTACTTCTGGTGTTTTAGGCAGCATCTGACTCTACTTCTGGTGTTTTAGGCAGCATCTGACTGTACTTCTGGTGTTTTAGGCAGCATCTGACTGTACTTCTGGTGTTTTAGGCAGCATCTGACTCTACTTCTGGTGTTTTAGGCAGCATCTGACTCTACTTCTAGTGTTTTAGGCAGCATCTGACTCTACTTCTAGTGTTTTAGGCAGCATCTGACTCTACTTCTGGTGTTTTCACCTGTGACAGGCTCAAAGCAAGCTTCTGGATATTAATTGGCTGTCCTAATCACAGTTACCTGCAGTTAGAAAAATACATTATAATAAATTACTGGCAGCCTTGCAGTTTTTCATAACTGATAGACTATTTTTTTTAATGATAAAGTAAAGATGAGACTGCTGATACTTCTATGAGAGTGTGATACATGAAAATAAAATTCCATATGAGGTGATGTAGTCCTGCAACATCAACCCTTAAAAAAAAAAACACAACAAAATTCAAAAATCGTGCACACAACTATTATTAACTTACTTTTCTCTAGAATCTGAACGAGATCTCCTTGATCGGGAACGACTGCGTTTAGACTTCTTCCTTGAACTACGATCTCCTGATCTTGAACTGAAAACCAAACAAAATTTACAGTTTTTATTATAACTGCCTTATAAGTATGTTAGGTAAACTGTGCCAAAAAGGTTACAATGGGTAAAAATGTAAACACTATAATCATGACATATTACCCAAGAGGTACTACCAGCCAGGACTACTAATTTTCTCTTGCAAACGGCTGAACACAAACTACAATGCTGCACCAAAGACGGGTCTCTTCCATGCAAACATAAGAGAAGTCTGCAAAGATCTGCAGAACATGCAGTTCACACAGGAAACAAGTGCAGATGAAGACAAGATTCCAAGCGACTCCACATAAGAGAGTCCCAAATACTAGGTTTCCATCTATGAGGTGTCAAATGTTATCAGATTTTCACTGTGTGAAGTCTGGAAGCACACTGACACAACACACCCCCCCCCCCCCCCAAACTAATGACCACAGAGCCATTAATTAGGCATACTAACCAACACACCACAGAAACTATTTTATCAGACTAAGAAAAGAGTGTCCTTTTACAGAAAAAGTAAAACAGAAAACTTTTAAAAGATACAAATTCAACTGCTGATATGGTATGACTCGTACGTCTAAAGCATCGTATCTACCTGGGAAACACAGGGGAAGCATCAGCTCACTACATGAAAAAGGCATTAGGTGAGAAAATGGGCTATTACCTACCAGGAACAGTAACAGATATGTGGTGTTTTAATATTTCGTATTCCTTGCATTTTATACCAAAAATAATAAACAATACATTGCAAGTAACAATTACACAAAAAATCACCAACCTCCGCCTCCTCCTGTGGCTGTCACGGCTGCGAGATCTTCGACTCTCTCTATCCCTGCTGCGGTTTCTTGCACCTCGCTCAGCCTCACTTCTTTCTATTTTGCTTCGGCTAGGGCTGCGTTCAGATTTACTGCCTGCTCTATCTCTCTCCATATCCTTCTCCCGTCTCTGGCGCATCTCCTCCCGTTGAGCTTCTCGCTGGGCCCGTCTTTCAGTAACCAGAGTCTGTGATCAGACAAAACATTAATTAACCCTTAAATATTATTCATTCAAAAACATATAATGCAATTATCAAAGCAGAACACATTTTTGAGGGGGCCGCTAGTCTAGCTAAAACTGCTGACCAGTCAATTCTTAGTCAGGTGTCATTCTCCATGAGGAACTGGTTTTAACACAGGGATCCACACTCAGTAGGCAGTTCTAGTCTGTTAGTCTTTATTGGTTCTGAAAAATTAAAACTATTTGTGGAGAGCCTTTATGATATTCCAAAGCTGGTATGAGGTGAGATGTTCATCCCAATGTTGTTTTGTAATCCTGGTAGCACAATGTTGTCCCTAAGGCTATCAAAGGAGTTTTAGGAGATTCAGTATTTTTTTTTTTAAACACACACATACACAAAATAAAAAATTGCATGCATTCTTCTTTTGTAGTCGCATCAGGTTGTAGCACAGTTTTGTGCTTTTTTTAAAATTTGTCTTGTGCTTCTCAGGTGACGGATTTGTTCATCTTTTTTGCAGGTTCCAGATACACCATTAATCCATCTCTTTCTTGGTCTTCCTCTCAGATTTTTAAGCATTAAGAATGAGTAACTTTAAAAATTGGTGAGTACATTTTTTCAAGTGTCCTTCAAGCCTTCGTAGCATCGAGCACACAGTGCTAGACATTTAGTTATACACCAATCAGCAGCTGACAGGTGATATGGTAACATCATGCCTGCCTTTTTTTAACTTACAAAGGACATCACCTGGTACTAATTTTAAACTGGTTGATTCTTATGACATGCAGTGGGTCTGTTCTTGTTTTCCCTATAACAGGGCCCAGAACCCATACAGGGAACTTCGCCAATGATGGCGATATTTACATCTTGTGGTTGCATAAATATTTCAAAAACTTTGTTTCTTTAATAACCTTTTATGTTTAGAATTCATGTTTCAGAGCCATATAATGCTATGGACCAAAAACATGTAGCAATATTCATTTCTCAATTCAACAGTGATGTCAGGAATGTTCGTTTCACTAGGAAAGACTTACTGGCTACCGTGAAAGCAGACTCTGTAGAGACCTGCGACCTTCTCTCATCTGAATACTACTGGCAGGCAGAATAAAAAGATCTGTTTCTGCAATTTTTGTTCGATCATTTTTAGCTTCCTAACCCACCATTTTCATGTTTAAATGCAGATTCAGTTTAAATAAAATGCGTTTACAATGTGGCTGTAAACAACAGAATTACCTTCAACTGTTCTAACTTCTCTCTGATGGTGATAAATCCCAGATGCAACTTTCCACCAAAATGATCTGCCAGCCGACGATCGTTATCATGAATGCCAAGGTAAGCACCACAAACCTCACAGACTCGAAGCTTTTGCTGTTGATAGCTGGAGGCCGGCATTGAGTTCCTCAACTCAATCTGTGGAAGTAGGGACTGATTAATAAACGAGGCACAGTGACATCTGAAAATGAAACACATCTGCAAGAAGTGAAGGATATAATTATCAGAAACTCAAACTATTGGTTGAACAGCTGGGGGGAAACAAAGAAAACAGAAGTAATGGTAATTACAAAGAAGAAAGATCCTCCATAATGTAACATCTAAGTAAACAAGACAAACCTCAAGCATGTTGATACGTTTAAGTACTTGGGTACCCTAATAACAGCTAATAGAAGATGTATTTGAGTAAAATGTAGAAAAGGTATTTTTTTTAATGGAGCATTTCACAAAATTAATATTCTAAACAATTTTTCTTTGTCAGCTGAGGTAAGAAACAAAATTCTCAAGAACTGTTTAAATTATATTCTGATATAAGAAGTAGATCGTGGACAGTTAGTCGACTAGTTAACCATTTTTTTTTTTTAAAGCCATTTAGGTTCAAAGACAAATCACAGGGACACAATGGACAGATAAAAAGAGTAATGAAGATGTCTTCAACATTAGGAGGCAATCTACATTCTTTGGTCATTGTATGATAGACAGAAAACTGGTGTACATCATGATGGTGGGAAAGTTGCTGGAGCTGATGAAAGGCAGAGGGAAAATGCTGGACAGTTTGACATCATGGCATGTAAAATCTTATCTGTGTCAGAATGACTGAAAGTCTGTGGACAGACATGACTACCAACACCATAAACTATAAGAGGGGGCAACACTTTGGCTGTGTTAAACGAATTAAAGACACTAGACAAAACCGGTATGCTACATGTTTGGGAATATAACACTAATTAACGATACTAAAAAGTGAATAAACATAAAATACCACACTTGTGAGTGTAGAATGCACCAAATAACACAAGTCAGAACAGTTAGTTAGTTAGTTGATAGATTATCCTCACTGCACGTCGAATCACTCAGTCCATAAGTACTATGATCCCCTCTTCAGTAAATCCTACAGCATGCAGCGGCTGAAGACACCAGTTCTGTGTTGGTTTATTCTTCTTCTTTGGCTACCTGCAGTGGTCTTGTTTGGCGATACCCTGTTTAACTTGCTGTTCTTGCAGTGTGACCATGGTTGCAGACTCACAGTTCTCAATTAGTACACGCAAATGTCTTAAATCTAGCAGAGAATTAGGTATATCAGCCTGGTCCATGGCTTGTCCAGGCTTTTACAGTAGCCTTACCTGTAAGTCTGTCAGCTTGCTCATTTCCTTGTTCCACCTCATGTCCTGGCACAAAAATGAAACTACTACTTGCCAGCCGTGACTGCTGTAGAGCCACCAACCACTGCCTTCTGACCTTTCCTATCTTCCTGAGCATACTTGAGTCACTGAGAAAGCATGCCCATGCTCTTGCACCCACTCCTACCCGGAATCTATGTCCTCAAGTCACCACGCCTGTAAAATAATGTCCTCGGCTTGACCCATCCACGATTTCCCTCTTCTTAACCTGCTGCCTTTGTTCTTTTTAATTTCGCTATGTAATAGATGTTGTGTGTTCGCCTTGACTCTGTGGTAGGCATGTGCTCGGGAAATTTGTATTCTGTCTTCAAATGTTGGAAAATCGAGAAGGTTGCCCTGCATGCTGTATCTCTTGTACACCCAAGTATAATGCATAGAGCCTCATTCCGTCTCCCTTCCATCTGCTTATGGCTAAGAGTCAGGATCGCCACCGCGTATTCAAAAACAAAAAAGACCAAACCCTGGTATAGAAGACAATTTGCTGCCGCCATCACTCTCACCGCAGCCAGACATCACTTGGCTTTCATTATAATCTGATCTTTGTGCTCAGTATAAGCAAGACTTCAATCAAACTGTATCCCCAGGTATTTAATTTCATGGGTTCTTTCTACAACCCCAGAACACAGACTTACAACTGGTGTTGGAGTTTTCACAATATGGTTATTCAAAGAGAACCATGTCACTGTCACCTTCGTTGGGTTGACCAGTGCACCAGCTTCACCACATCAAGTGCTTATGTGGTTCAGCTCTTTTTGTAGTTCTTCAGCAACCTTCTCTCCACCCTTGTCCTGATGATACACTAACACATTATCAGCATATGACAGTGTTCTTGCGGGCTCTGTGATTTGCTCGCCTGTGATTCTCACAGAGTAAATGTTGAAAAACACAGGAGATAATGGCGATCCTTGTGGCAGGTCAGGATGTATTATTGTTGGTTCAGAAGTCCAGCTGCCACATCTAAACACTACTTTTTGTTGGAAGTAGGCAGAAGAGATCCATCCAATAAAGCAGGAACAGATTTATCTGGAGTTCAAGAAGCTGAAACATTAAGAAATCCAAAGGCGCTCTCTTGTACGCATTCTCAAGATCAATTTCCACAGCAAACGATTCAATACCTGAGTGGAAGCCTTCATACACATCATGAGTAAAAACCGCAGCACTGGTCCATGTTTCTTTCTTCAGACGGTACCCTCTAAGGGTAGGTGGAAGAAGACCTCGCCTTTCAAGCTAGTGTGAAATTTTTCTGGCAATTATCTTTCCTAACAGCTTGCCTACAGTATTCTGCATAGTGATTATCAGATATCTCTGAATTTCCGTGTGATCTTTGCCAGGTTTTGGCAGGGGTATCAGGCAGCTGTGTAACCACTCCTCACTGATACTAGCACTCGCAATACTATTGTTGTACATATCTGCTAGCTCTATCAACTCATCTTAAATACACCTACTAATGTTATCTTATCTTATACCATCTGGACCCGGTGCACTATTATTTGTTCGTCAGAACAGTACTATCAAACAATTACAGATGTCTTTATTATAAATGTCATAGAAATACACAACTAATGCCATAAGCTCAATATGTCTAAAGTAGTGAAAATTAAACCTCTACTTTGGATTTTGGCAGACCTGCCATTAAATTAAACCAAAACAATGCCCCCCCCCCCCCCCCCCCCCCCGAGGATTTTTTTTTCTTTTTCAGAAAGCATAATAATGTTCTAACCAAGTTATGAGAAAAGAAGTTCATTGTAGTTTACTGCATCTCATGCAGTGAAAATGTAATATAAATCTGTTTGCTAATTGCTAAATATTTTAATTACAGAATATAAATGGGTTACTGACACAACATACTTCGGCTTGCATCTTCTTCATTTTAAGAGCTTCGACTTCTTCCAGCATCTTCATGGATTCATCAACCTGTCCTGCAGCTCCAATTTCCTCTGCTTTAGCCATCAAAGTACCAATCTGCTCACCAAGCGCATGGATCTGCTCAGCCTGAAAATTGAATAACAAAACTGAAAACATTGCAAAAAGAAATATCAATCAATCTTCATCGCGCCCAGAGGGACGTAAGGTTCGCCTCCAAGTGCCTGCCTTCCTGTCGTTTTGGTGTCCACTGCACTGCCTGTCTCCGCAGTCTCTCACTCTTCATTCTGAGGACATGTCTAATCTATCTCCCTCTTCGTTTTTTTTTAATTTCTAAATTTACATCTTCTAAGACTGTTAATTATTGTAATCTAGAATTGCTGATTTTATCTTTTCATGTGAACCCCAACAATCTTCTGAGAAGTCTTCCCTCAAAACCCCTGAGCATGCTTTTTATCTTTCTATTTTCCAAGTTTCTGCTCCATAGAGGAGAACTGTCCTAATGCATGTGTTGTATAACCTGAGTTTAGTTTTAGTGCTGTAGGTTTTTGATATTCAGACACTCTAAAGTCTGTTGTAAGGAGTATTTGCCTTTGCAATTCTGTGCCCAATTTCCATCACTACATTTCCATCCGAGTTCAAATGTTCCAGGTGTTGGAGAAAGTTCCACTGAAGGCCTGTTTGTGTGCCTGTGGTTGCTTTCTTCGTAAAATAATCATTTTGAGAAACAAGAAAGGTGACAGAATACACCTTTGTCGGAATCCTGATGTATTCTGTCTCCGTGTGTCCTACTTTCACTTTGCATCCTTCACTCAGTCCCTTAAATATTTTACAACTTTATCTGGTAACCCATAGGAAATATCCTTTTACAATTTTTAAAAAGACGTGGAAAACTTAAATATCAAAGACATGTCTTATTAATTATCAGTCCTTAAAAGCTAAATTAACTGTTCTTCTTCTTCTTCACTTCCTCTTTTACCGCTGTGGGTGTCGAGGGAGATATAAGGTTCTGTTTCTAGCTCTTCTTGCTGCCTCGACCATAGGCACATCGTGCTGTTGTAGAGTTTCTCTGATGTTATCCTTCCATCTTGTTCTTGGTCTACCCTGTGCTCTACGTCCTTCTTATCTTTCCATGTATGCTTTGTATGGTATGGTGTCACAAGGCATTCTCTCTAAGTGGGCAAACCATTTCACTTGCTGTCTTTGTATGTAATCCAGAATTGGTTCTGTGCCAACTTGTTCTCTTATGATCTCATTCCTGATCTTATGTCTTATGGTCACTCCTACAGCCCTTCTCAGACATCTCATTTCCGTGGTTACTAATTTTCTTTTATGGCTTGTGAGTGACCATGTCTGGCACTGGTAGCAGAGAGTTGGAATAAATATGCTTTGAATAAGATGTCTCTTTGTGCTGATTGGGATTGTCTTATGCTGTAAGAGGGGGGCTAGCTGTCCCAATACTTGGTTTGCTTTACTGCATCTAATGTCAATTTCTTTATCCAATTTCCCATCTTCGGTAAATGTAGTTCCCAGATATTTAAACTCAGATGCCTGTTAAATGCCTTTGTATTCTATTGCTATGTTTAGATCTGTCTTCTTTTTTCCTATTGACATTACTTCTGTCTTTTCAGTGTTGATTCTCATATTATTTGTTTTACATTCTTCATTCATGGATGTTAGATGTTGCAATTTCATGGCTGTATCTGCTATCAAGGCCTGGTCATCTGCAAAGAGTAATTCGTTGATCTTATTAAGATCTTCATTCATGGGCTTGGCCTTCTTGCATATACTGTCAATGTAGGTGATAAACAGCAGTGGTGATAAGACACACCCCTGTCTTACTCCAGATGTCACTGTGAAAGGATGAGATGTTCCCTGATTTATTCTAACTACACTTCTACAATCCCTGTATAAACTTTTGCACACTTCGATGAGGTGTTCGCTTACTCCATATCTTGCCGTTATTTTCCATAATAATTGTCTGTCGACTCTGTCAAATGCCTTCTCCTGGTCTACGAATGCCACAAATAAGTTCTTATTGTATACAATGTTCTTTTCTATTAACTGTTTAAGTGTGGAGATTGCATCTGTGCAGCTTCTATTTCTCCTAAATCCCATCTGTTCTTTTGCCAGCTGTGGTTCTATCACTGGTCTCAGTCTTGTTTCTATTATCTTGGCATACATTTTGCCAACATGGCTTATAGGAAAGATGCCTCGATATTGACCACATTCTTGTTTGCTTCCTTTGTTCTTCCACAATGGTATAACTATTGCATGTTGCCAATCAATAGGGGCCGTTTGTTGTACCCATGCTGCATTGAATATTCTGTGAAGCCATCTGATGCTGCTTTCACCTGCTGCTTGAATTATTTCTGTTGGTAATCTATCAGCTCCTGGTGCTTTATATTTGGGAGAATGTTTAATGACTTTTTCTATTTCATCCATTAGTATGTGTGGTTCTAACACTGTTGCTCTGTGCTCTTCAGTTGTTCTTTCCTGATGATCTCTTAGAGGATTAAAGAGCTCATTGAAGTATTCCCTTCCTCTTTCTGCTATCTCAGGTGGATCTATCAACGGCCTTCCTGTCTTATCATTTATTATTTCAGTGGGGTTGTAGCTCTCATCTCTTTTCCGCATATTTGTAACTACTTTGAAAATTTTTCTGCTGGCTGTTTTCTCATTTTCTGCTAGCGACTCACCGAAACGTTCCCAGGATGCTTGTTTTGCTTTCTTGACACTCCTGTTGGTTTCTCTCCTTTGCAGTCTATAGTTTATATAATCTTTTTCTTTCTTTGATTTTATCCACTGTTTATATGTCTTTTTTCTTTTAAATTGCTTCTTTTACTTCTTCGCACCACCAAGGTGAATATTTGTTATTTCCCCGTCTGTTTCCACTCTTCCGTTTTCCACATAATTCTTCTGCAATACTAAGCATAGTGTTTTTATATAAACTTCATTCTTCCTCAATATTGCCAACTACATGTGGAAGTTGTCTGAATGCTGTCTCTGCTTTCTGTTGTAACTGTTCTTTTACTCCTTCCTGTTTCAGATTTGCTATCTTGATGAGATCCTTGTTTTTGTTTAATTTCCTTCTGTGTTTCTTTAATGTAAGATGTTTTGCTGTTAACACAACTATTTTATGGTCAGTGTCACATAGACCATTAGGGATTGCTCTTAAATCAAGAATTCTCCTTCTTCCTTGAACTCTGGTAAGTATAAAGTCAATCTGGCTCTTGATGGAGACATCATTCCATTTGTACCAAGTGTAAAGTTGTGAATCTCTATGGTCAAAGAACGTGTTCGTAATAAAAAGATTGTGCTGGCTGCATAGATCCAATATTCTTTGACCATTTCCATTTCTAGCACTGTTCTTAGCTGCATATGGAGCTAAAAACTGTTCGTATTCTCTTCTGTTATTACCTACCCTCCCGTTGAAGTCACCCATTACATATAGTATGCTGCTTCCCTCAACTTTCTTTATCTCATCAGACAGATCGTCAAAGAATTAATCTTTCTGTATAATTATCACTGCATGGTGCATATATCTGTATATATGTTTCAGCTTGTTCTCCTCTTTTAATTTTCAAAGTAATAATTCTATCTGAGTGATAATGTATGTCTAATATGTAGTTAGATATGTCCGGATGTACCAGGAAACCCACTCCATTCTTCGATGTTTCTCCTCCTGCATATGTTAGTAAGTAGCCTCTGTGTATTTTCTTATTAATATTTCCCTTGCGTCTTATGTCAGCTAGCCCCATTAACTTGATTTTCCTTTTTTCCATCATTTCAATAATCTCTTCTGTTTTATTTCCCAGGCCAGCGATGTTAAGTGTTGCAATCTTGTATTTCGCTGTTCTGTCTCGTAGTCCCTTAACATTGCCATGGTCAGATACCGTTTGATCAGTCCGTTTATATCTCATTTTGATTTCTGTAGCGGTAATACACCCATTGCCGGCTTGCTAGGCCTGTCGCAACTTCACCAGAGCCCCGTTGGCCAGGACGTTTCGGGGTGACCCAGGGTGGCCTTCATGGCTACCGTAGCGGTCCCGTGGCACGAGGCCACACCATACTTCGCCCACACCTAGCAATCCCCTACTCTGTCCTGTTACCACCTCTCACGACGAGGACGTGGGGTTGGCCTTTGTTATTCAGTTTGGTCAATATTGCAGCCACTCAGGACTAAGAAGTAACAAACTGGGAACAAAATCTAACCTTTGAGTTTGCCTCTTCGCTAAGTTCCTCCTGTGTTTCCTTCAGACGACGTTTGGCAACCTCAGTTTTGCGGTCACAATCTGAAATGAAGCTCTGCAAGTGCTCCATGGCCTGTGGTAAGGTAAAATATAGCATGTTAACATTGCATTTACTTGATTGTTTCATATTTTGTTATCAGTTGTTTTTTTAAATATTCATTGCAATGTCTATGTGTAACTTATTGTCTTTTCTTAGTATTCACCAGCTGTAAACTCTGACAGAAAGTTATAGATATCCTTGTTACAGACTTGTTTCAGAACTTGAGTTGACATACACATCCGGTCCAACATATCTGACTGCAGCCTTTTGGTTCCACAAGGTGCACGCTGCTTCAAAGACCACACCCCTACTAAGTCACCTTTGTTTCTTGGTACGGGGTGTATTAACCCCCCCCCCCCCCCCCCCCCCCCCCCCACGGGCTATGGAACATAGATGGGGATAAAGTATGTGATAGATGTAGCTCTTACTAGATGCTACAGTAGGGAAATAAGGACTTCACCTTTACTAGGTACATACTTGTTTGCTTGGGTGGCCAGTTTATTTCCTTGATTCCCCCCCCAACAAAATACTACTTTATTTTCCAAGCTGGTAAGTTTAAATATTCACATGTTTTTGGCAGAAGGTTTTGAAAGTAACAAATAAAACATGTTTTAATAGCACGTGCTTATGATTAAGATGTTTGTTTTGGGCAGCAGATGTTTAAAATATAAGATGATCATTCATCCTTTATCAAATGTTTCTTATAAGGCTGCTTCTAGCAACACATTTTTCTGTGAAAAAATTTTGTAAGTTGAGAAAGAAAAAACATTTAACATTTAAATTATATAATGCAAATTTCTTTTCTCAAAACAGATCACACATTGGCAACCCACTGGCTGGCCGTGCATGGCTTTGTCACTAATGGAGACAGTATTTGGGTTTGTTTCATATGATCGCATCAACACTTCAAGAGTGGCGAGCAATGTCATTTTAAAATGGCATAAATAACCTAAGTCGCAATTATAACCAAAAGCTTCCCTCCCAAGGATGCTAGCTGAACAGGATTTTTTCTCTCTCTCCAAAACGGATGGACAGATCGCAAACACATGTAAAATGGCAAGTAAATGGCTGAGCTTCATTTTTAACACAGATGTTCTGAAAATGTTACTGCAGCTTAAATTCCAAACTAATGCCGGGCCAAAATAAGTAAAGTAGAGTGGTGAAGAGCAACAAGATACTCACATCAATGTCGTAGAAATAATCCCTTGTTTTGGCAGCTGTTTCATAGTCTGCACGCAGGGCGAGGTCGTGGACATTTGGACAGTCTCCAAGATCCATACGCTAGAAAACATAATTTACTTTTCAAAATTAGTTATTTTTAAAAGAAAACTAATTCCTCAAGAAAACTAGACTGAGATAAACTTACTCAGCAATCTGTGACAGGTGCAAGAAATGGTAATGGCACAAACAAATTGAAAATGTATAACAGATTGCTATAATTAAAACACAGCAGATGATGCAACCTGCAAGCCCACGTCCAGAAATGATTAAATATTAAAGATTTTTCAAAAATCAGAAAGCAGGAACAAACTTTTCAGTAATGAAGTCAATCTGAAACCAAATCTGACAGTAATACTGGTGCAAGCAGAAACAGGTAGAAAGTATTTTTTTTTAAATTCAATTTCACATTAATCACAACACCGAATCTGTTCACACATAACATTTTGTTAAAAATACAGTGTGGCAAGTTCATATGCTATCACAACAACATGCCATTTTAACAAATGTTTATTCCTCATTCGTCTAAAAAAAATCTGCATGTTGGATTAATCACTATAATTCAACCTTACAAACAAGTAGTAAAGTTAAATCATTCAACCTGGAATCCAGTGAAAGCTGTTTTACAATTCCCAAGTAGCAAATGGTGTTGGCTTTAATTAAATTATTCACCCGTGTCCTGTAATGCAAAATGGAACACTATTTAACGTCAAAAGAGGTGGGGGCCAAACAAGGAACACTATGCTGGAAATCAAAGAATGATATTACCAACAAGAAATGGTGTTCCCAGTCTCTACATGCCCAGGGATTAACTGAGGGGGTCCAACCATTTATGGGGTCATCGCTCTGATGTGCAGTGAGGGTCCTTTGCTGACTTATTAACTATGACCTTTTTCCATTTCAAAGCTAAATATTTTTCAATATTCCAGTCATTAATGTTGTTTTATATAAGAAAAAAAAAAAAATTTTTTAAAGATGTCAAAACCTTTTTTTTTTTTTTGGCTGTTGTGGTTTCCCTAGGCAAGTTAACGTCCAGTAGTTTGCACTGCTATCTGGAGGATCAACTTCTCGATACCACTGTCCAAACTAATGCAAGGTCCGCAGCTGGGGTCAAACCCGGCACCCCGAAATTACAAAGCACGTTCGTAACGCCTAAGCCACAGACGTCAAAACCTAATTATCCAATATTCTGTAAGGGGTTATTTGCTTTCGCGGCAAAGCAGAATTTTAATGTTACTGCCCAGTTTTTTCTGGGCTGAGGAATAAAGGCCATAAGCCTAAATAAAAGGCATAAAATAGTGTATTGGCAAGTAGGATTAACAAAGCCTTAATACTAACAGCTTCTGTGGCAGACACTTTGATGCTTACTGTAAAAAACACCCAGTTACAATGGTTTGGACATGTATGTAGAATGAGAGGGAATCTTCCACCAGGGCAGGTACTGGAGGCCAAGAACCAGGAAACCATACACCCCACCCCCCCCCCCCTCTCCCCCACTTTGCTGGGAAGACAACATTTAATGGTATTGACTGTAATGGACCAAATCTAAAAAGAAAACTGCTGACAAGTGTGGCGATCTTTCTGGCAACCCTCTACACTCCAAGGTAGGAAGAAAAACGACACAACACTGATCACTGTTGACAATTAAGCCCTAAATAGCATGCTCCCAGCAGTTAATTCAGCCATTCAATGAAAATCACAAAGAAACAATAATTACTTGATCAAGTTTTGGAGCTATTTGATTACACCTGTAATGACTAGAAGTAGATACTTATGGATGCTTCCGCACATTTGAAAACAGTTGTGGAACTCGAAATTTATCTCTCTACTATTTAACAGAACTGTTTCCTAACCTACATATTTTTTGAAATCTATTAAATCTAACATCTAGGAGCCAGTAGCTGCAAAGATTGGATACTGGAATGCAGAATGAAGCAACAGGTTATTTATCCCAAACATGTTTTTTTTTTTTAAATAATGTCTGATGCTTAATAAAATGTCTAGCCTTTTCACCACAGGAAGGTGCAATAATTGTAAAAAAAATTTGCTATGGACATCACTGGTAATGAAAGGATGCAACTAAGGACAAATTTCATTCTAATAACTAAACCTTTAATTATTATTTTGCATTGAATATAATTTAAGATTAGACTTTCTATTCTCTAACCAACTTATTTTTAATATCACTATACCAGAGACCATTTTGCTGGATAGGTTACATGTAGATAAAATCTGACAAGAATGTCTTCATACAAAAAACCACAGGGCCAAATAAACATAAATGCCAAAGTACACATGGTGAATTAGAGACACCAGGAATTCTAACTCAACAAATATGGCAGCTATGTTGTAAACACGCACAATGGATGTACGTCTTCCGATGAACGCAAAAGAAGAAGAATCAAAGAAAAAGGAGAATAAGATGGAGAGGGCATGGAACAGCACAGTGCAAACATTAGGAGTTGTGGGAAGTGTTATGATCTAATGTCCTTTTCAACTGTTGAAAGGTAACTGCAAATATGAGCAGTATAAAATCAAACCAAGCAAACAGTATCTTGATGCCTACAAAAACATGGTAAACAATTTTCTTTTCAGCGTTAAAATAAACTGTTTTCTACACAGGATAAACCCACTTTACTCAAACACACAAGAATTTAAAACAAAGGTCTCTTCTCAAAGAAGCACCTGTGTTTAAGTATCTAATGTCAAATCAGTACAGCCAGATGGAGCGAAACATGGTGAACAACTAAAACGGTCACTATTAAACTACAAACTTTCATTAACTGGTGCCTGCGCAGAATAGAGGGAATTAGACTGATAGCATCACTAATACTGAGCTTTAAGAGGCTATCAAATTCAAGTGAATCAAAATGTGAAGAAAGGACACTGGCATTGGACAGGACATATATTGAGAAAACCTGATTAAAAATATAACTAGAAAAGCTTTCAACGGGAACCCACAAGGGCATAGAAATAAAGTAGACCAAAAAACGTGGAGAAGGGAAATAAATTTGGAAGTTAAAAAGATGGGGAAGACATGTGGTGAGCTGTCTACAATACCAAAGAATAAGACGACCTAGCGTAGTTGGTTGAGAACCTATTCTCAATTGGGGGCGGGGGGGGGGGGGGGGGTCAAAAGACAAAGAAGCTGTACTTTAATAAGAGTTTATGAGTGGAGAGTCATGACTCGCAATTACTAGCATAACTGGCTTCCAGCTTGGTAATATTGTTCAAATCCTTCTCTAAGTTTGGATTTATTTTAAATTGACACTTGTTACTAGATCAACCCAGCCTATCACAGGCACCAAGAAATTTTTAGGAAGGAAAAGGTGACTGGCCTAGGACTGTGTCACCCACCGGCAGCTGACTGCTTTGAACATGGGGCCAATGCCTTGCACACTACAGGCTTCATGTCATGAAATGAGTTTGCCTACTTTCACTTATAAGGAAAGTGTGAAAAGGTGGCGAGTCTTAACCCTTTCGCCTAGAGAAGCCAAAAAATTGGCCACCCCTGCTGTGCCCAGATCCCACTAAAAGTAACTTTTCCGACTTGCCTATAGTGATATGTTCACGCGATGTATAGTTAATACAACTGGCTGAGCAAACATTTTGGAGGTCAGGATATGACTAAATTAACTAACAATAGCATTTAGTTTTCCTTTGTGCTAAAGAGTTTAAAGCCAAGATGATGTCAGATTTTTTTCATAAGCCTTAGTGGTAAAGGTCACGGCATGAGTTATCCGATGTGTGTGTTTTTTTAAGACTCCAGGGAATGTATTTAGTTCAATGTTTTATCCCATTCACGTTTAATTCTCACTCCTTTCATATATCTTTACACATTTTGAAAAATAATATTAAAATGTAAATTAAAAAACGTGTAAAATCATTCTTTATATGATTTCTCCAGGAATCCTAGCAGGGTTATGACCTTTTAAAAAAAAATTTAAAAAATTCTCGGGGCGAAAGGGTTAAAAACTTATTGCTCCTTTAAAACAATTTCTCCCATTCACAAAACCAATTCATTCGTCTGACAGACTTGTGTGGTCCCTAACAGAAAATCTACTTGGGGCACTTTCACTCCATTAACATTTTCAACAAATCTTATAATGTGCCTATTCCTGTCTCTGCTGTAGTTGTCTTGTTAAAAACACCAAATTAATCCTAAGTACTCAGTACTCTATTTTAGACCACCCTGATACTTCTACCCAACTGACAACAATCATTACACCCTGCTCGATGTGTAGAGAACAACAGCAGTATCTAAAGGTTCTGTAAGGAATTTAAACAGAAGATGGCGTATTTAAAATGGGTCCAACTCACGGTTTCTTACGTACCCACTCCTAAGCATGTCAATGTATGTTAGAGTATGACACACCAACCTGATCCCAAGTAGCTTTTTTGAAGCTAAAAAAGGAATGAAGAGAAAAAAATTAAATTAAAACAACCATCTGACAGAGATGTAAAGATAAAACTGGCAAGTCAATTAAAGTGACTGCCGAGATAAACCACTCACCGTGCTAGCCAGAATATCATGGGGGCAACAGCCGAGTAGGAAGCTCTTACATACCCGAGGGTCATCAAATTTCACTCGATACTTGTCGGAATCTCCTACAGTCAGTGAGATTTAATGAGAAGAAACAAAGTGTTAACAGGTGAGCATTTCTGTTAGGTAAACCAAGACCTGGTGGTAGCAAGAACTGATTCATACATACATGCTTTCTTGAACCCCACAGGTGTGCTAACTGAACCAGCAGTCTTGGTTGCCACTTCTTACATCTCTCTACTGTAAAATATCTTGTGTTACACTAAATAAATGTTTACAATAAGGTACACATATGTAACAGTTAACAATATGAAACTCTAAATAATAGTTTCAGAACCATGTTATGCATTTCCAAATCTAAGTTAGTTTCAACACATGCAGGTGACAGTTGAAGGACCACTAAAGACATGGAATTGAAGCTGAATGTATTTGAAAACAAACGCCAGAGAGAAATGATAATCATAAAACAGGATTGAATTCAAGCTGACTGAAGAAAGAGGTCTGACCTCCATTAGAATCAACAGTTATAAGTCAGAGACATGGCAATATACTGGACACATTCAGAGAAGAAACAGAGAGTTGCCAGACATGCACTTACATTGGAGATAAGAGGGATTAGGGAAATGAGGACGTCCAAGAGACACTGATGAGAGAAACTAAAGGTGCTGGACTGGATTCCATACATGATATTGAAGTCATTGCATTGTACAGAATACTAGAGAAATAGACTGTGAGCCCTATGTGACATATAATGGCACAACAGGACAATGAACGAGTTAATGTAGTGACAGTCGTTTTAACTCTCTTAGGATCAAACAGCTCACTATTACTTTCTTGATCTTCCTAACCATATTATGATGTTTGTATGGTCGGTCTATCATCGACAGATATATTATACCCCAGCTGTTCTGAATTATTAGTTTAACTTCTGTCCAACAGCGTCTCTAAACTCCCTCAAACCCGAGTATTTTCTAAAGCAGAACTTCTTTAATTAGAAAGTAACTGTTTGGGACTGAAAGAGTTAAACAACTAATGATTTTAAAAATATGGAGCTAGTCTAAACTTGTATAGAAACTAGCTACAAAACAGACATGTATACATACAGTTTCACTTGATTCATCGACTAGTAGAGCGCACCCATGTAAATTATACTAAGCACTAAGTATGCTATTGTAATAGCAGTAAAAATACAGGTTGTTCACAAAATGTATACATACTTTAAACTACATATGATATATACACACTTGCTACCATTAAAGCTTAGCAACACTTCTGCATGTGTAAAGGTGCAAGAAATAGGTGAATGATGAGAATATGCTGGACAGATAAAAAGAGTAATGAGGACGTCTTGAAAGAAACTGACTCCCAAAGAGAAATAACTGCGCATCAGAAAGATTCTTTGTTCATGTGATGACGAGAAAATGGGAGTACATCGTGACAGTAGACCAGTTGGAGGGGAGGCGAGGCAGAGGGAGACAGAAAAGATTCTAGACCGTCTGAAAGTACACGAGAAAGAAGGCTGTGGATAGACATGACTACCAACGCCACACAGCATGGACTTTTTTTTTAAAGAAAAAAGACATGTATCTGTTGGAGGCAGTGAAAGTGCAAGAATATAGCTGAACATGTATATGGTGGCCACATATACAAAAACCTAAATTTTTTAATGGCAAGCATCATGTGTGTGAGAAAGCTTACTGTACAGGACAGTGCATTCAACCAGCAATGGTCTCTGGTCCAATCCTCAAGTGGATATGGCATTATTCTGCCAAGCATAGTTCTAGGGAACTGGCTTGTACACACGCACCCAAGGGCATAAGGTTTTGTCTTCCAGCTGTAAACTTAAACGGAAAGTTTATCCACTCCTGGATTTTGGCCTTATCTAGAACTTGAGTTCTGTATGCACATCCCTTTCACAGATCTGGCTTATCTTTATGCACACTGTTGGTTCTTTGCCTCTCAGATAGATGCACTCTGACTTTAAAGGAAACATTCTTAATTAGTCACCTTCTGCAACATGCTTACTGCGGAAGGGTCTATTCTTTGTTCTTTAAAATATAGCCCCTGAACCCACAAATGGAGCATTATGTTTAAATCTCAAACGAGACCGATGTTTTAATTTGACCAGGTCTCCCAGACTGGCTAATTTAAAGGCATGGGAAACAAGTTTATGTGAAAGTCAAGGCAGCTCAGGCAATGACTATCCCACAAGAGTGCTAGAGTTTATGAAATAAAGGGTTGCAGTGGATCTCCAACATACTCCTGTCTCTTGTCTTAGTAGTAAACTCTCTCAAACTGTTGTTTGTCCATATCCTGATACTGTCTTCTCACTTGTGTAATTTTCTACACCCTGCCTTTAAATTCTTCAATGTTTTCTCCCATGTGTCTACCCCTTTACCCCCCCCCCCCCCCCCCCCCCCTCCCCCTCCAATGTTTAAATAAGTGTTATTCTTTCAAAGTGATCAAAATATAGGCTTCCTATGTCTGTGTCAGCAAGTCAGTGTTTAATGCACAAGCTGTAGCCATGCTTAGACTTATCTGTCAACCATTACAATCTAATGCACTGTATATTTTCACAGATTGTATTTCATTCTAATTCAAATAAAGATATGTTGCCTCTTCTGCTAAATTATTTAACATACATTTTTTTGGTCTTTATCAAGCATATTCCAGTGATAATTTCAAAATATCTTAACTTATGGTGCAGTATGATAAACAATTTATCTACAAAAATTATTAATTTAACCATATATTAAGTAAATTTACCCTATTTATAAATGGTCTGTGGACAGATAATAAAAAAGGGGTATAACTCCAAAATCTTAACTTTAAATTACAAGAATAATTCAAATTGTTAAATGATTATGATAAATGTTACTCTGATGATAATCATTAGATTAAATGCATCAATTTTTTTTTATTTACCTTTTAATACTAGTATAAACAAAAAATTTGAAATTAACTTTGGTGTATCCACCTACATCCTCATTGGGATTTTGATGATTATCAATAAATCTGTCTGTACAATATTATGTCACCCCTTCCACACACCATCATAGTTTTAGCCATTTTCACTTTTGTTTTCTTCCCCATCAGCTTCTTAACACCTATAAAGAGCCAGTCCCATTGAGAAATTATGTGAAAACTGCAGACATGATTTTACAGCAAAATGAGAACCCTATTCAAAAGGTATGGATAATTCACAAAAAGTTAAATTTTCTTATTCCAGTTCATCAGCTGTAAACACTGGGAGTGGCAGAAAAGTTCTGGTTTTTCATTAATTTCTATACTTGTCTATTGGTCTTGTTCCAGAATCTGAGTTTTGCGTGCACAACCGTTGTATAGATCAGGCTTATCTGTGTGCAGACTGCTGGTTCCTCACGTTTCATGCAGATGCACTCTGACTTTGAAAGTAATGAAAGAAACACCCCTAATTAGTAACCTTCTATGTCATCATGCTTGTACTGGAGGGAGGTGGGCAGTGGGTCTAATTGGGGGTGGGTTGAGTGGTCTCGAGGTATGGTGTCGCCGGCTCAAGTGCTGGAGGTCCCGGGTTCAAGCCCCAGTGAAGATTGGGACTGTTTTCACATGGACTTCTAGTAATTTCCCCTGGTCTTTGGGTACAAGATCGGACGCCTGTGTGTATTATTGTGAATGTAAAAAAAAACTTGGTAGTTGGAAACGAAAAAAGTTAGACTAACGGCACTGCCCAGACAAAATTTGAAGTAAAATCTACTTTAAGTATTTCGGATCGTTGCCGGTGCAACAGAGTTCGTGCCTTGTGCTGAAATTCTTCAGAATCAGGCTTGATTTAGAAGTAGAATGCAGGCAGTGCTTATGGGTTACACCCGTGTACCATGATGTTAATACTTAATCTAGTGACTACGGTGTTCGGCAATTTGCGGACGTTTGGCAATTTCCGTTACCATGGAAACCGTTCGAAACTTGTTTGGGAAATGTCGGCTGGTTTCGGGATGGGGCCTAATCTCTCATGAAATTTTGCGAGTGGTGTGATTTTCACCAGCTATAAATAGCTGAAAACGGCTAGAACGAACCCGATTAACAGCGCATATCTACGACAGCCAGACATCCTCTGTTTTTCTGTTACATCAGTTTGATTAAAAATAGCGGTAAGTATTCAAGGTTGGCTTTAGGCTTTAACATTACTCGTCTTGGTAATGCTAGTTTAAGTTATAATTGAATTCTCCGTCCAATTTTACATTTGTATATAAAATTTCTTTCTTATGAGTGGCTTTTTAGATTTACAGTGACATTTTTCAGGCAATCGCTATTATGTGGCTGTGTCTCATTGTCTGCTATCTTGTCCAATGTAAACAAAGCCAAAACGAAAAGTGCGCAGTTTGGTTGCGCAGAGAAAACTTGTTTCTGTGGCACAAGTTTTCAACAGCTGTTTTTTACATCTCATCTCATCACAAAAACCTACATATCTCAGCTCAGAAATGCGTGCTAGCCTAAATGAGGTACCGTTGAAAAGAGATTACAGCTATCTAACTGTGCTGGTTTTATTGGTGTAGAGGGCATTTTGAAAATTTGACCAGAGTACCTACTTAATCCATTGAATAAACATGAAACATTTCCCGCACAATGGAGCCCCAGAAAAACACTGGCGAAAATTGAATCCAGTAATTTAAAAACAAAAGTTTCAAATTGTACCGCATTTCTTACTTTCTGCGCCAAAGTTTTATAAAAACGTACATGTTTTAAGTTCAAGAAATAAGGCTATAAATAAATAAGGATCCAAATTGTCTGCGAGTGACAGCTAGAGTAGAGCTGACACAAATCGCTCAATTATTAATCTAATAGATTTAATTTGTTTACGTAAATCTGGATCGGCTTAACATTTCTTCTTCTTTTGTCAAAATCTGCTTGTGCCGCTAGGAGTCGCAGTCTATCAGATGATCAGCAACCGAGCCAGGGCGCGCTCAGTCGCTTCATATGCCGTGATGTTATGAAGTCTCAAGTTGTCCGTGACTCCTTCAATCCATCTTCTTCTTGGTCTTCCCCTGCCTCTTGGTGTTTCGATTTTCATGTTGTATGCTCTTGATGCTGGCATCGTTGGTTCCATTCTCATTAGGTGACCAAACCATTTCATTCTTTGTTTCTCAATAAATTTAACGATGGGTATGGTTCCAATAGTTCTTGTGATCACATCGTTTCTCACTCCATCTCTTCTGGTTTTATTCGCAGCCATTCTCAAACAACTCATTTCACAGGTGGTTAGTCTTCTCTCGTGTTCTTTTGTTAATGTCCAAGTCTGACATTGATAACCTAATGTCGGTATAAAGATTGTATTTATAATTTGTCTTTTTATCTCAGCTGGGACAGCAGGGTGTTTTAAAATTGGGGCAAGCTGGTATGCGACATTGTTGGCTTGTTGGATTCTTGCTTCGATCTCTCTGTCTATTTTACCATTGAATGTAAAGATACTTCCCAAGTATTTAAATTCTTGCACTTGTTTTAGATTTTAGGCTTTGATCTAGAATCTTTATGTCGATGGTCTGTTGCTCTCTACTTATGCTCATGACCTCTGTCTTTTCAGCATTGATCTTCATATGATGCTTGAGGCAACTGTCGTGTAGTAGGTTTATGTGGTCTTGCAGCTGTTTACTATCACTGTGAAATATGATGAATGATGCATTGATCATCGTCGTCAAAGAAGAGCAGCTCATTGAAGTCCTCCTGTTTATCGACATCTGTTGGTGTTATGTCTATTTTATTAATATTGTCCATAAATATTATGAAACATTTAACAATTATTAACTAGCGGTGTTTAGAGGGGAGGGGGAAAAATCAAAGTGACTGTCGTCACTGTCTCTGGTGAGAAGAAACCACTGTAATGATTACACTGTAATCCGACGAAATGTGCGCTTCTTCTGCAAGGCAGGCCAAGTAAACTAAGTGGGCATAAATAATTAAAAAGTCTACTCGAGCTTACCATCTCGGGTAGTTCCCATTAATTCATCGAGCATAGCTCGAATCTGGTCATGTGCTGACATTGCGAATGGCCTGTTGGGTCTACTTATGTTCAAATCTCCCCAGTATTCCTCAGGATGTAAAAATCGAAAGGTAATGATGAAGACAATATGGCCGACAACATACGCCTGATATCTGTGACATGCGCATAAGTCACTTCCTGGTTGAGTTTTTTGTTTTTAACTTAAAAGTTCACAAAAGCGGACAAGAACAAACCACCGCCATAAATAGCTCCATAAGGTCGTGGAACAAACTAATGTCTTGAATTATTTCATCGAAACTAAATTTTCTGAGCATTTAGTGGTGACATTTATTGCAAACACAAAAGTGTCAGTGTGTGTTTGGAAAAGGGGGGGGGGGGATATGGAGGTAACTTTTATCTTCTTCGCGTTCACCAGCTGTACAATCTAGCGGAAAGTTCTGGTTGCCCGTCCACTACTGAACTGCAGTCCTGATCCAGAACAGGAGTGTTGCGTGTGCATCAGTTTTACAGATCTCATTCTCTTGAATACAGACTATTGGTTCCTTGCATCTCCGGCAGATGCACTCCGACTTCAAAGGAAGCTTCCTAATTAGTCAACTCTTACGACATGCTTTTGGGGAGGCAGTGGGTCTATTCTTGTTTTCCCCACAATGGGGCCCCGGAATCCACACGGGGTGTAACTTTTATGAATGTCAGTGAATAGTATTAGCTTGTATTTGTCATGGTTAACGGACATTTAAATGACCACTAATTACTGGCTTATATCCCCGAATGGATTCCAGGCCCAATTTTGGAAGGAAAAGAATAGACCTACTGCCCCCTACCTTTTTTTTAAAGGATTTATTTTACAGCCGACAATAGGGTTGAGCCTGGGCGCTCCCTTGGTTAACTGACAGTTACGTCACTACATTTGGGCTTGCAATACGATCACTAGCACGGTGAATTAAACAACTTTCAGTAAGGTAATCGATGCTGGCTGAATTAAGAATCGACATCACAGTAGTCGGGACACTCCCATAAGCACTATGTCCCCATCTTCAGCACCAGCGAAGAGTTACAGTGCAGACGGTACCAGTAACTTCCTATTTCCCATGAGGTGAAGCAATCAATATGCATTGCGAGTCAACCCAGATTTTAATACAGTAGCCACCAAACTTGTAACATATACTCTCTAGGCCGGAACTTTTCGCGAGAATGCAAAATCATACCCTCTTAGTAGTCATGACTCCATGCGTTCTGCATGCAGTCCTGTAGAATGCATAAAAAGATATAAACCCGAACGAAAAGTATATTAGTAAGCTTCACAATATAACAAATACAAACAAAACGTGAACGTTGCAGCTATTGGGCCTTCGTCAGCACATAAACATTAAACAATACTACATAGATACACAAAATCACTTAGCTGGTATCTCGATGTGGTCAGGTCGGTGGTTACTCAGCAGAATAGACTGAGCTGCATAAGAGGAGGCCCAGCCATCCTGCTGATCAGCAGTGCAGAAATGGTATGGACAAAGGACGATGATCTAGTGAAGCCAGTATGAGCTTCATCTGAGAGAAGATACTGGGTTTGTGGGTGGGGTGATGAGTGCACTGGTAATGTAATGTTTAAGTCGCCACTGGTGATATTCGTACAAAGCGGTGCCTGTTCAACTAAGAGCGAGGACAAAACTTAACTTGCAACTGACAAATCTTTTTGTTGACACAATATTCAAAACTGCCGGACTCCCCTTTTTTTTCCACAAACCACGTCCTTCTCACTACCTAGGCAAAAACTGGGTAAGTCTCTGACCACTTAAGGTCCTCCCCCACACCCCCTTTCCACCCCACCCGATTAGGTAAGAAAATATTGGGGACACCCATACCACATGCTTCTTACCACCTTAAAAATTTTGTAGGCAAATAATTGGGTGGGGGATGGAAACTCAGGTCCTTGAAAGCCCCCCTCCCCATCCCCCCTCCTTTTTTTCCACCCAGAAAAAAAAATTATTACTGAACGCGCCTTACTACAGAACACCTTTGTAAGGGGGCTAAGATGTATGTATATTATTATATTTATTTGCCATTCAGCACACTATTATTCTTCTTCATCTTTCGTTCGCCTAAAATAAGTTGTCTATATCGGCAATTTTGTCTCTTGTATAAATTTCACTGTTGTTGTTAATTCATTCAGTGGTCCATAGAGTTTACGTTCCACTGTTGTTCTTTCTGGCCAAAAGGTTTGCCTTAATGTGTCAAATTCGGTGCAGTCCTGGAGTACATACTCTGCTGTCTGAAACACCTTTCCAAAGTAGATTCGGGGAGGGGGTAGCAACATTGGTTAGGGCAATGGGATGCAACCTATGGATTCGCAAGTCCACTGGAATATCCGGTGACCTGAATCTCCTTCTTTTTTTGCGTTAACCAGCTGTAAACTCTGTCGGAAAGTTCTGGTTGTTCATCCACTTTTGGACTGCAGTCCTGTTCCAGAATCTGTGGGTTGCGTGTGTATCCGTTTTACAGATCTGACGTATTTGTATGCGGACTGCTGGTTCCTCTCCTCTCAGGCAGATGCACTCCGACTTTGAAGAAATCTGAGTCAATATTTGGGGCTGTGTTGACCTAAGCCAGGAGATGTCAATTCGGCTTGAGTCAATATTATAAGTCCGTGTTGACTTAGGGCAGGAGGGACCAGTTGGTTCCTGAAGTGCCAGCCCAGTGCGGGGCAAATATCATACTTAGTGCGTGGATGTCAACAGTCTCAATGAAGGGGAATCACGCATTACAGGAGCGTCTTGTGTTACACGGAAGAGCACAGGGACAGGCATGTGTATATACTGAGGTTGAGATCAGTTGAGAAAGAGAGCTCGAACAGTTGAGCTGAAAGCGTTCGACGTGGAAGCACTCGCGAGAGACTGGTCTAAAGGACAGTCGAAAGAAGAGCAATCCAGTTGGCAGAGTTAGGCCAAGGGAACTGCACTACTTCAAGAAGAAGCTGTCTTGGGTGACGACGCATGTGTGGGCGGTCATGATCACTAGTGAAACAAGAAAGCAGAGATGTCGGCGACAGCTGAGTGCTGAAGAGGACTCAGAGCTGGGAGTTCTGTCGGTCATCATGGTTCCTTCGATCAGGCTGATGTGGTGTGTGCACATTCTGGATATCAAGCATTGTGAAGTTCTCCAGTCAGCCGACGCGACAGTGTCTGCTACGCATAGAGCGACGGAGGTCAAGTTGAGTAGCAGATGTAACCTGTTCATCCTTACAGCAAGCCCTGATGTGAGTATAGATAGAGACCTAGGCACTGTAGGGGTGGAGTGGCAACTAGTGTACGCTTTCCGAGAGAGCGCCGCTATACTAGTTTGAGTGAGCGAAGCATTGGACATTCATTCCATGATTAGCCAGTGATGTGTATGATTGCTTCGCTTGTAATAATCCCAAATGCGGGCTTATGTGTACCCGATCGTCGTTGTGAAATAAAATGTGCATATGTGGCGGCAACACGTCGTTGAGTTTTCCTGACATTGTGTGCGTAAGTTGGGTACAACAGTTGGAGTGTGAATCATATCCAGGACATTTGGTCGTGTGCCGTCTTCCCACTTTAGCACACACCAGCCATAAATTCAGACAGTTTGTCTGACCCCAAACCAGCTTTGTTATTTCTTGCCCAGAAATTCTGACTGCCTTACTATTATTCTTAGAACAAATATGCAGACTCACATAGTATCACTGATGAAGGCTAGTTTGCCTGTATATTTTATTTGAAGTCAAGTGAAGTGGCTGCCATGTTTAATATAAGCCATATTCACAATAGAGCTAATCAATCAGTTGGGGGGAAAAAAAGGGGAAAAAAGGGGGGGGGGGGTGGTCTTAAAGGATTTGAGTACCCAGGTTCCAAAGCCTATGCTCCGAAAACTATACTGCAAATTCTTGGCAGGAACGTATCAAGAAACCAATGCTCTCGCCTCGTTCCTTGTTAGCTCAGATTAACAAAAACAGCACTGGTGTCTGGTGTTCACATTTTTTTTTAGCATAACAGGGCTCAGGATTACATTCCAGGAAACATATACAAGTAGATGTACCAATTCAAATAAATAACATCCTGGGGGGGGGGGGGGGAGGGGTAATTAAAGTACCATATGCTTTATTGCACACGAGAAGCTCGCCTGCGGATCGGAAGGTCGTGGGTTTGCTCACTGGCGAAGCTGGACTTTAAAAAAAATGACCTTGGCTCCCAGGTCGACCCAGCCTTGAGTGGGTACCAGTTACCTGGGAAGTAAAGGCGGCCGGCGTGATGCTGACCACATCACCCATCTTGTGCCGTTGGTTTATAAAATATAGGTCCTTTTACTTTACTTTATTGCACATGGTAGAAATGTAATGAAGTATAACCCTATCAGGACTGCACAACGAGCCATAAATACTCAGTGACACAAAGTGTCACCCTTCAGATGAAAATCATCTGGGTGAAAGTCCCAGAAACCCTGTTCAACCTTAAGATTATATTAGGGTTCCCGACAACAGCCAGAGTGGAGTGTTGAAATAACAAGAAACTGTGATCCACATTGGGACAAAACAGCTAATAGATATGGGAGTTTTCAGAATTAAATTGTGCGAGTCTTAACACACAAAAAAACCGTTGGCTACAGAGAACCCACTGCTGTCTTTGGGAATATTACTAGGTGAGGCCCCAATCTCTTTCACAGTGCGACTCTTATACAGTCCAAAAACCACAACTGCATTTACAAAACTGAAAACATTTATAGTGCCTGAAGGTCCTGCAAAAAACAATCTTTCACCAAGACAAAGATCTGTACATATAAAAGAAATTTTTTTAATGCATCATATGAAAGGTAATAATATGAATGTAAACACACACAAACATATATTTATATATATATATATATACACACACACACAAATATATATATATATAAATAAATATTACTGATTTAAGAATCAACATCACAGCACATCGGGCATACCTTCAGATGCTCTGTCTCTTGCAGTCAGTGTCTCAAAGGTGTAAATGCTAACTGTTCCTCTAGCACACTGATTACAAA